AGGGAAGAGGAGATAAAGGGGTTCACTTGTGGACACAGGTTATTTGTCTCTGCAGAGAAAAGGAAAGGACTTACACAAAGACACAGGCTCTCACAATGTGAAAGTAATCATCAAAAGAGCCACTAAAAAGCAATGCTAAAAATCATTGTTCCATGCTGTTCGTCATCATTTGTTTCTTATTGGAAAGCCAGAAGGCACAGCTTAGATGTCTTAGCAGAAATTCTGAACTAATTAGACTTCCTAGAATTACATGTTAAAGCCCCAGCAGGGCCCATTCAGCCCTCTTCATCTGAGGCATGTGGAAGTTGATACCCATCCCAGTTACTGCATGAAGTATTTTTGTCGTCCAGCGTCAATAAAGATAGCGTGGGGCTTTCTGTAAGAAAAGAACTCCTCCACTTGGTGTTTTCTGAAGGGAAAATTACCCTAACTGTATTTTTATAAGAAGAAACAGTTGTATATGTTCATGTATATGATAAGCATCACTACCAAATCACGGGCAAATGTATATCTTTTTTAACTGTAGGAGTCCAAATAGGTCCTAAAAGTGCAATGGAAAGAGTGGCACTTAGTCTGGTTTGGCTTCATTACAATGCATGAAGTGGGATCTGTAAATGCATGAGTCAGTATGGAATTGCTGATTTATTTCCTGATTTTTCTGAAGTTAAATAAAGGTGATATTGAGTATTCTCTCTCCCTGCTCTGATTGAATGCCTTTCATAGAATATCTTTGGTTTTGAGTTTAACTATTAGCTGAGAGGATGGTGCATCTTGAAAAAGAAAATAATTTGTTTCTACTGCTTAGTGGCAGCTGAATTAAGCAAGTCAATAAAAATAAAAAGAGTTGTAAATAGTCTGGACAAAATTAAATGCCTCTTTCCATTAAGCAGTTATTGCTTAATATCTGTATGCTGTCTTCCTACTAGAGAGTTGGAGACTATGAGACTCCTGCATAAAAGGGTTGGAGAGGACTTGAATTTCTGGTAGGAAAGGCGGAAATAATCATTCTGATTAAAAAAAAAATGCGTTCAAGGTCCTTTTCAAATCATAAAGATATTAAAAAAGAAAAAAAAAACAATGGAAGTAGCAGGGGAAATTCAGCTTTCCTTGCAATGTCCCTAGCTGCGTAGGTGGCAAGTTCAGCCTCCCTTGGAGGCCGGTGAGCCCCGCGGAGGGGTGACCCAGCCTGGCCCCTTCCCAGCCGCCAGCAGCTCCCTGGGCCCCGCTGTGCCGGAACGGGAGCGTTTTTCTGCTGCTGCGAGGAAGCAGACCTGGTGAACCAATAACCCCTTTCATCTCTGTTTACTCACCCTTTGTTTGTTTTTAAATGGTTGCCAAAAGAAAGGAAAAAAAGGCATGAAGCAACTCTTGGGGGAGGGAAAAAAGTGTTTTTTAGCGGAAAAGAGTAAAAAAAAATGCCTACTTCATATTTTCCGGAGAGTGCATGGAGAGCAGAAAGGGTGAGTGTCTTTGTCTCCAGCATGACGCTTCAGCAAAAATCAGAAACTTGGGAGCATTTTCCAAGGGAAGCCACAGCTTGCGTGGAGCCCCAGACACAGCCATGACGCAGGGGGGGCCCTGCCGAGTCCCACCCCCTCCCCTTGTTTCTTTCGGAGAGTCGCCGGGAAGCAGGGTGCCCCCCACACAGCATCTCCCCATGGGCTGCCCACTGCCCCGGGCAGGGTGGCGGGGATGGTCGGGGCCAGCAGGAGGGGGCATGTGGCACGTGGCGTGGTCGCTCCCCGCAGCCACGGCTGAGGTGGCGCCGAGGGGCAGCAGTGCTTGTCCTCGTGTTTGCTGAACTGAGCGATAGCAAGGAGAAACAGGCACTGAACCGTCCTGCGTTCGTGATGTTTTTCCATGGGCTTATTTTGTTTGTGGTTTCCAGTCTAGCTAGTACTTTGGGGGTTAGAATTTATTCTGCCTCAGCAGTCCCCACAAAAGCGTTTCTCCATCAGCAGAGAGAAAAGCAAAGTTACGTGAAGCTGGTGTAAAGATAATTGTGTAGCTGTCACCCTGTCAGGGGGCTCTCTGCAAACCCCATAGCACGGTCATGTGGCAGCAAACACACAGCTCGTGTTTCTAAGCATCCTGCTCCAGGCGCCCGTGTTTCTTCTTTCCCAGAAGAAGAGCTCCCATGAGTGTTCAGTCTCTTAGGGGGGTGAGAATGATTCAACTTGCAACCACAGGCTTAATCCTAAAAGCCGCGGGTGTGCTCGGGAGCCTGCCCGAAGGCAGTGAGAGAGTTACCTGCGGAGCCCCGGCGAGCGCGGCGGCGCGCGAGGCGCTGCATCAACACGTTCCCCATTCATGTGCCGCGTGGCCTGACCTTGGGCTGCGCTTGGGAGGAAAGGAAAGGCGGTCCCCGCTCCTGCGAACAAAAGACACGCGAAGGAGGGTGACTCAGGAGTCCTGGTGGCCCACGTGTGATGGATGGGATGTTTCCGAGTGATCACGTGGCCCGGGCTGGGAATCGGGAAGTGGAGCCCTCTGTAATTCGCTAACCGTGTAAAATTAATCTATACACTGCTCAGATACACTTTCCTTTTAGCAGCCATGCTCCAAAGGAAAACAGAAGGGGGTTGAGGGAATCCTTTTCACCGGGCCCCCTTATCTCTCGGAGCACAGGCTTGAAACTGCAGCCTGGCCTGGATCGGATAGCTTCGTCTGAGCAAACAAGGGCCCACCGTGGGGAAGGCTTCTTCGAGTTAGTTTTCAATAGCTCTGCATGGAGCTGTCTAAATACGAAAGCTTTGGGAGGAGAGGTATGGAATGCTCAGGGCGAAACCTTTCCGATCCTCGTGATCAAATGTCTCCTACAAGGAGGTCCGGTTCTGGCACAACTCTCTATGAAGACGCTTCACTTGTAGGAATTCGGACTACGGGCGTGTTGGTCTGTGGCAAAACAAACTCATTTACTGTCGGTGCCATTAACTCACAAACTGCCCCGTGTTTCCTYGCTCTGTTTTTGCAGGCGCTGTTAGCGGGTGGCAACCCCAGCAATTCCTCAAGAGCCAGCAAGGTCTCAGGCTGGAGCGCGAGGCGGGAGCGCCCGCGACGCCCCGGCAGCGCCTCGGAAAGGAGCAGCGGCGACGGCGCCGCACTGCCTGCCGGGCTGGCGCCGTGCGCGGCCCAGTGCACGGTGCCCCTCAAGCAGGGCCGTGTCCCCCAGCCACCCGCAGAGTGGGACAAGCCTTGGCCCCGGCACGGCAGGAAGGGATCCAGGGGATCTGTTGACATCATAAACCACTAGAGAGCACTCGCAAATGTTATTTATACCCCTTTCCTAAGTGCCAGTTTGTAAAAACACGCGGTTGCCGTGGCCTGGTTTACAGCACATCTAAAAAGAGAGATCCAAAACATACCAGGTTTTCTGAGGCCACCACAAAGGCTGTCAGAGCGGCCCTTGTGCTGCRCCTTTCCCACCCCCGTAGCCCATCCGAGGCGAGGAGGGAGGGCGGCCGCAGCCTTCGGCCCCGCTTCTGCCCCTCAGCGTGGGAGCAGGGCACCCGCCACCGCCCCTGCGCCTGCCCCTCAGSTACACCCGGGAGAAGCTGGAGAAAAAAATCGTGGAAAAAAACCCCAAAACTGTAGAACTGCACTTGCACACAGAGCTTGTTTTCTTTCTTCTTAACAGAAAATCCCAAGCGTTTAAAGCTCCTAGTATCCTTTTATTTAATGCCAGAAGTAAAAAATGGGTAAAAAATAGCAACACGTTAGTTAGCGGCCAGAAAGGAAAGCATAGTGCAGGTGATATTCCAGTAAAAAGTAACTCTAAAAATAATAATAATTAAAAAAAAGAAAGTGGGATTTGAAGAAAAATCACACATTCTTCATTAAAACACTTTAATGCTACACAAATTACAATATCACCCTTTAAAAAGTAATATTAACAGTAGCACTGTTGCAGCTGAAGCACTAAAAAAAAAGGGGGAAAGAAAAAAAAAAGGAAAAAAAAAAAGAAGTTGTAGTCCAGAAAACAGCGAACTGGTATAAATGGAGAATCCACTGGAGTGTGTTATTCTAGTTCAATAAGGCAACAAAAAGAAAAAAAGCAACATAGAGCTCAACGAAAAAATGAGATATGTATGAAAAACTTAACTGTTTATAACCTTTTTTGTTTGTTTCCTTTTGCAATTATGAAAGTTGATGGTGTGGATGAGAATTAACTGAGATATCAGGACTGGGAGTCAGCTGAGCAAATACAGCCACTTACAGATCCTTCTTTTCCAGCTAGGTTGTTTCTGTGCCACCGCCTAGTACCACAGGCCTGAGAGTTTTCCATCATTTGAACTACTTCAAAGAGCACACTGAAAGGAATGGCTGCGCTTGCCATGTAGCGGGACACTTCCTTGAGACACCAGAAGTGGAAGGCCTCTCCAGAGAGTCGCGCCAACGCCAGCCCCAAAACAAGGGTCAGCTTTGCAGGGGCAGGACAAGCTGTGCTGCTCTCCTCTCTCTGGCACATCCCTCCAGAGGCTCAAATGGGGACCATTCGGTAACACGGGAGGGTGTCCTTGTCATGTAGGTATTTGGTTTTGTTGATACCACCTTAATCATGAACATGAGCTTCATACTACATGAGGTATTATGCCAAGCAACTTTGAAGAACGTGTTACCATCTATCAGCTCAAAAATCCATTTTTTTAATAAAGTGCCTAAATACACATTTACACAGATCATAGTGGTTCCAAAGAATCCTTTACATTTTTTATATATATATATGTATATATATAGGTATATATATATAATGTGCGTTTTCTTCAAATTGGCTAACTGTGTTTACATAAGACACCAATCTTGACTATAGGTATAAGTTTTAAAGCGTAATATTGACTCAATGAATTTGTTTATCATGCAAGTCTTATCTAATATTACATTGATCTGTAATATGGAACACAATGTAGTGGGTGTGCTCATTAAACACTTCATAAAAATTACTGTGCATGTGCAGTTCTGATTTTCAAATATTAATAATGACCATTTCTTAAAAAAAAAAAAAAAAAAAGACTTCCAAAGATCTACTCTGCATTCAATTGCAGTCTGAACATTATCACAATAAGAACAATGGACTAAAAAGCATCCAAAATTCTTCAGATTATAGTCAGMTGAACAGATTTTTCCTCCTCAAACAGTGAAAGTGTTTATTAGTTTGTCCYGGGGAAAGGAGGGGACAACCTAGCCACCCATTTGCTCAGAAACAACTGCTCATAACCATGTTATAAACACCTAAACATGAGGGCTCGTACAGCTGCAGCAYTGCCAACAAACTATAAACAGCACAAAAACATCACTGTAAGACTCAACTATTTCTAGTAACCAATGATTTATTGATTTTAGAAGTCTGCTTGGTGATGCAGAAGCAGGATCAAAAGAAGTGGCTTTACAAAAGTGTGCTCCAAAGTAGCTTAAAAGGCAGGGCCATGGCCATTATGTGAAGCCCTAAATTGCTTTCATTTCAACCAGTTTATATTTTCATTTTCAAAGAACAGTATTAGGTTTGTCTCACGCACACGTAATAAGGAAATAACAGGTTTCCTCCACCCACATTTGGGCTGTCACTGATATGCCCAAAGGCGATCTGGYAGAACCTCAGTCACTGCTGTCATTGTACCACACTGTACCTGCCACTACTTGGAAATACGATGAAAGCGATAGTAACAATAGCAACAGTACTCGAGGTGACTGATAAGCAAACTCAAAGTCCACCTGCACTATCTGAAAATTAAAATAAAGTAAAAAATTCAGTCTCTCCCCCACCTCCCCAGCATAGTTCAAGCAAACGAAAAAACACATTAAGTGACGCTGAAGACCTTCGGAGACGGCAGTGCTCTACTGGTGTATTCACCAGGAATAGAATTAAGTCTGTTATCAAAACGCCGCGTTATAGCGGGTGTATAACCGGTGAACAAATGCAGTTCTGTAATCTTACAACCGATCACGTGAACTGCAGTCAATTTCGCCTTAAAGAAAACAAAACACAACAAAAACAAACCAACCCAGAAATCGCTAACTCAACAGCGCCTCTCAGACAGACACCTCTCCACATCCTACTCTGAAGGCAACTTCCTTTGAGAAACACAGCGGAATTTCAGACTCCATCTGGCAGATGGGCTATTGCAACACGAGACGGATGTTTCCAAGAGAAACCCCTCCTGCTCCCTAAGCTCGCCTTGCCCACGGGATGCAAGGGCAGCATCCCCGCACCAGCTATCGGCTCTCCTCCCCAGGCGTCTCACACCAAGCCTGCATGCGACCAGCTCTATACAACAGGGGCCAAGAATAAGGAATCACAGACAGTAAGGCAATCTTTACAATGTCAGAAAGTGTATTTGGCATTAAAAAAAAAAGGGGGGGGGGAAAAAGGAACAAAAGAAACAAGTGCATACAAATACAGCTAGAAGCATTTCTGGTTTGCCAAGTGCTCTCTAAAAAAAGCAGCGCAAGTCACAGCCTACATTGAACAGTAACTGTCACCAGGGAAGCACAACAAACAGTTGCTATAACAAAAGGGAAAAAAAAAAAGAGAAGAATTAGAAGAAATGCCTTTATAATAAGTACATACCTTTTGTCTTCAAAAAATATAGAAACACAATGTATTCAAAAAAATCAAAATTATACAGCCATGTTTATGAAGTCTACATTTCCCTTGTCTTGGAGATATATATATATTTATATATATATATTTATAGATATATACACAATTCAAGCAGTTTGAGTTAAAGGTGACGTCGGGTCGTGCAAGGGGCAGAGTCACGAGTCCCTCTCCTTTTTCACTTTCACGTCTCCGGCGAGGATGGTGGCGATCTCCCCCTGCATGAAGGCCCAGGGCACGTTGGAGCCAACCAGGGGGCACTTCTCGCCGCTGGGGCAATACACCTCCCCGCTGGCGCCCTGCTGTTTGATACTTTGTCTGGAGCAGGGGAAGCAGAACTTGTGAGAGGGGACCGAGGGGCACTGCACAAAGTGGGTGTCTTCCAGGCGCTCGTGGCACAGGGTGCAACACAAGGGCACGCTGGCGGCAAGCGACGAGTCCGGCAGGCTGGCGGGGTGCACGGGCTCCAGGCCACCCGCCGTGTTGGCCCCCTGGCCCGCCACCTCCCTGCCGGGGCCCAGCCTCCTTTGGTTCATGGCGGAGGGCGAGGGGGGGCTGCTGCTGTTCCTCCGCGTGGTGGAGTGGACTTGGTTGGCATCTTTGGAGGCGTGGTTGCCGCCAGCATTGTCCGCGACTAGAATGAGCGCGGCCATGGGGGACTGGCCGTTCTGGGCCGCCTCGGGCGGCGTGGTCCGGTTGGAGTGAGGCGAGGCGGTGGGCGGTGGGGGGGACATGAAGGAGCTGGCCGTCATGGGCATCTTCATGCCGTCCGACGATGTGGGCAGCCATGGCTGCGCCTCTCCATTGATCTTGGGGGGTCCCGCTTCACCCTCCGGCTCGGGCGAGGGCTTCCTTTTCCGCGCTGCCCGCGCCCCTAGAAATGCACAGGGAAYGGGAGGGCAAAGAGTGAGGAGGAAACTCAGTAACGAGACAGTGCCACGCACCCCGGCCCTGAAGGGAGCTGCCCTGCGAGACACCCCAGGGGTGGCACGGCCGTCCCAAAGGGGCCTGCTGCCCATGTCCCCACAGGTGGCATGGCCGTCCCCAWAGGGTACGTGCTGCCCATGTCCCAGGGATGGCACAGCCATCCTCAAAGGTGCCTGCTGCCCATGTCCCCCAGGAGTGGCACTGCCATCCCAAAGGGTGGCACGGCCATGTCCACAGCGCGCCTGCAGAGCCGCGCATCCCGAACACGGCCACAGCAGGTGCGTGGGGCCCGTGGGGACGCCGAGCGTGGCGCAGCAGCAGGACCCCGGCCCCGCCAGCGCGCCCTGGCCGCCTCACCTGGCTTGGCCACGGCGCCGTTGCTCTCGTAGCCCAGCAGGCGTCCGCCGGCCATGCCCGGCTCCTTCTTGAACTTGCTGTCGAAGGGGGGCACGGTGTGGGCGCCGTGCTGGTGCAGCGCAAGCAGCGTGTCCCGCACCGTCTTGGGCTTGGCCAGCCACTCCTGCTCGCCCGCGCGGCCCTTGCCCTCGGCGCCCAGCTCCGCCGCCGCCGGCAGGCTCTCGGCCGAGCCGCGCTTCTCCTTGGCGCCCTCGTGCTCGCCCGCCGCGCCGCCGCCGCCGCCCGACGAGGACGACGAGGAGGACACGGAGCCGGGGCGCTTGTGGGCCAGCTCGCCGGGCTGCGCCGC